TAAACAAATCTTAAAAAAGAGAAATGGTATCAATGAAAAGCTAAGTCCCCTTATTTGATCAGCACACATGTATTCACATGTGTCACAGTGTGCCCCATTAATGTAGCCACGAGATGTTCATTAGAAAGACGCAAAGTGAAGTTCTTCTTATGGCATGACTGGAATAGCCAACTGGTCGGCTGTTCCCTGGGAAACCAGTAAATGCTCCCTGAGGGCTAATGTTTCAGAGAGCCCTAATTAAAACAATGCACGTGGCTGTGTTTGTTACTCATTTATGTGTGCATATGGGCATGCGCATACCATAGAGAATGTGTAGAAATCACAGAACAGCTTTCAGAAGTTGGCTTTCCCCTTCTACCGTGGGGGCCCTGGGGACTGAATTTAGGTCATCCACCAGGCAGGCGTCTTTACCCACTGAGTCGTCTCACTGCCTCCCGCCACTGACTGACTGACTGACTGACTAACTGACTGATTGATTGATTCATTGACTGACTGACTGATAGATTGATTGATTTACTGACTGATTGATTGATTGATTGACTGACTGATTGATTGACTGACTGATAGATTGATTGATTGACTGACTGATTGATTGATTGATTCATTGACTGACTGACTGACTGATTGATTGATTGATTCATTGACTGACTGACTGACTGATTGATTCATTGACTGACTGATAGATTGATTGATTGACTGACTGACTGATTGATTGATTGATTGATTGACTGACTGACTGACTGACTGATTGACTGATTGATTGATTCATTGACTGACTGACTGACTGATTGATTGATTGACTGATAGATTGATTGATTGACTGACTGATTGATTCATTGACTGACTGACTGACTGATTGATTGATTGACTGATAGATTGATTGATTGACTGACTGATTGATTCATTGACTGACTGACTGATTGATTCATTGATTCATTGACTGACTGACTGACTGACTGATTGATTGATTGATTGACTGACTGATTGATTCATTGACTGACTGACTGATTGATTCATTGATTCATTGACTGACTGACTGATTGATTCATTGATTCATTGACTGACTGACTGATTGATTGATTCATTGACTGACTGACTGACTGATTGATTGATTCATTGACTGACTGACTGATAGATTGATTGATTCATTCATTGATTCATTGACTGACTGACTGACTGACTGACTGATTGATTGATTGATTGATTGACTGACTGACTGACTGATTGATTGATTCATTGACTGACTGATTGATTGATTGATTGATTGATTGACTGACTGATAGATTGATTGATTGACTGATTGATTGATTGATTCATTGACTGACTGACTGACTGATTGATTGATTCATTGACTGACTGACTGATAGATTGATTGATTCATTCATTGATTCATTGACTGACTGACTGACTGACTGACTGATTGATTGATTCATTGACTGACTGATTGATCGATCGATTGACTGATTGATTGATTGATTACAGGGTCTCATGTGGCTCAAGTTGGCCCTGCAGTGCCTCCTCCCTTTCGTTTATTCCTGGCAGGGTCTCATGTAGTTCATGCTGGCCTCCCAACGTAGCTGAATGTGACCGTGAACTCCCAACAAAGGGCTGAAGTCACAGGCGCGTGCCATCCCATCCTTCCTTTTCTTTTCCGAGACAGGGTCCTCTCTAGTTCAGGCCAGCCTTGAGCTGGCAGCCCGGTGCTGGCATCACAAGCTGGTCCTTGACAGTGAGTCGAAGGGCGCGTCAGTCAGTCCAGGACTCGCGTTAGGCCCTGCTCTCAGCTCTCAAGGCTGCCCAGGGACTCCAAACCTCTTGACTGCAGTTGTTGAAAACACCCTTTAGGCCAGGTGTGAAGACTCCAAACGGCCAATAGGTTGGATTATCTGTCGGCTGGTGCTCGGGAGGTGAGCCCACCCCTGCCCCAGCCTCCCCAAGGATCCTTTCCTGGGTCAGGCCAAAACGGAAGTGTAGAGACTTCCTGTTCGGAAAACCACTCTGCTTACCCCAGACATCAAGGTGCTAGACACACCTCTGTCAGAGCAGAAGAAAGTGGAAACAAACTCCAGTTTGGCCCAAGACGGGTAAACACCAGCAGGTCACCAAACCCCCAGCATAGCCTGGGCTAGGACCCAATAGTCAAGAACATGGATGCACAAGAGAGTGGACTTTGAACGAGTCAAAGCTTGCCCTTCCTTAACTGTTTGACTATTATTGAATCCCCGCATTTTCCTGAGCCTCAGCTTTCCTGTCTGTGTAATGGGAATAGTCATACTTTCAGACCTCTGCTCAGGACTGAATGAGATGGTCCTGTAAAGCACACAGCTTAGGGTCCGGTGCCTAGAGAGCACTGCTGTTGTTGGGAGGAAGTAGCCCTCCCCCTGAAATTGGGGCTGGCTCTGCTAACTTATAGCCATCCTTCCCCAGCTTCTATTTGGGGGTCAGCTCTGCGAGCCTGGGGATCAGAGGGGCTGGGAGGTCCCCAAAAAAGGCCCCCTCATCCTGTGCGGAGATGAGTGAAGCTGGAGAGATGGGGGCAGCCCATTGGGAAGGAGCAGGGGAGGGCGCGGTAGTTCATGAGGCTCCCCGGGGCGCGGCTTGTGGTCTGAGTGCCTGGGTGGGCGGGGGCACAGGTGGAGAGGCTGGAGGGCAGTGGCGGGGACGGAGGGTGGGCTGAGCTCAGATGGGGAGGCGCTCTTTTTACCAAGTGAACTAAGAGGTTGAGCATGGCCCAGAACACCCCAAGGAACAGCTGGCAGGGCCCGGCTAGGGAAGTTGTGTGGCTTGGTTCTCTTTGGGGACATTCACTTTGTCAGCTGGAAGGTGGGTGGAACGGGGCACTTGCTAAGATAAGGGTGCGGCCGCTGTAGCCAGGGGCTGGCAGGATCACTGTGACCTTGCTGCGGTGACTAGAACTGGACAGACTCCAAACCTGCATGAGGAAGAGTCCGGTGTCTCCAGAAGCCTTGGGAGGGAGGCTTCTTGGAAACCTCCAGTGTCAAACGCCTGTTTCCCTGGAGTTCACCCCCACCGGGCACTGGGCGGCCTCCATTCCCTTCACGCCCTCCTCTGTCAGCGCTGTCCTGGATGCCTGGTGGGGTCACTTGTTTGCTCCCAGACTTCTCTCATTTCTTTCCACTGTTTTAGTTTCACGCCGGCAGGCATGGCTTATGAAATTACGTGGTTCATCTGTTTACTCTTTGCTTCCCTACAATGCACCACTCTGTGGCTCAGACTTCTTATTTACTTTATTTATCTTCTGCGTCCTAGAGCTTAGTGTGAGAGTCCACAGACACAACCCAACACGATGGATGCATGGACGGGCCGACAAGCCCTCCAGAGTAAATCCCCATGCCTGTGTATCCAGAGACTTACAATTTAAATTTTAATGTATTTGAGAATTTACTTCATGTACATGTGCATCAAGTGAGTGCAGTACCCATGATGACCAGAAGAGGGCATCAGATCCCCAGGAAGCGGCACTACAGAAGATTGTGTAGGCCACCCTGTGCGTGCTGCAAATCAACCCCGAGTCCCCTGGAAGAGCAGCCAGTGCTCTTAGTCGCTGAGCTTTCTCTCCAACCTCACACTCAGGAGCTTTTGAACTAGGCCCCAAAGCCCTCGTTTCTAGCAGCAGATGTTATCTGTCACCACAGCTGGAGGAGGTCCTGGCTTTCCTGATAAGCTGGAGGGACACAGAGGTCACACAGAGACCTGTGTAGGTGGAGAGGGAGGGACTTGGCACCGAGTGTGATGTCCTCCAGCCTTAGTCTAGAAAGCTGACTTTCTTTCTCATATTGGGCTTACTTGAAAAAAAAAACTCATTAGTGGGAAATAGAAAGCTGCAAATTGGATCTAACCCTCGCGATCCAGAGGAGGAATCTGAGAGCCAGGGATGGAGAGAAGCTCGCCAGTGGTGCAGAGCTCTGTCCCCAGCAGTCCTGCCCAGGGATGGAGAGAGGCTTGCTTCGTGAGTGAGAAACATGCTTTCTCGATTGCCATTGCTTGGTCTTCATTCTCCAAGAACTGGGGTGGGCAAAGTGATTTCTGCTCAACACTGGTCTCTGTTAGCACCCCGTGGACTTAAGGCTTGAAAATCCCCAGGGGTTCTCATGTCGTCTATAGCAATAGACTAGTGGTGATGTCTGCCAGGGTCACTCAGGAGAAGCTTGGTCTGGCTGGGACTTCACACACAGGCAGTGACACCAGCAGGTGTGGAGGATTTCCTCTCAGAGGGACGAGGGACAGGAGAGCATCACCCCAGCACTCTAGTCTCCTTGGTGCTACGGTGATAGCCCTTCCCAGCGAGGCCCAGCAACCAGCCAGCCCCTGCCAGGTCCACCAACCAGCCGGCCCTGCCAACCAGCCGGCCCCGCCAACCAGCCGGCCCCTGCCAGGCACTTACTTTTTTTTTCAATTTTTGCTTATTTATTTATTTGTTTTTTTTTTTCAAGACAAGATTTCTTTGTGTAGCCCTGGCTGTCCTGGAACTCGCTCTGTAGACCAGGCTGGCCTCAAACTCACAGAGATCCACCTGCCTCTGCCTTCTGAGTGCTGGGATTAAAGGCGTGTGCCACCAATGCCCAGCAAAATTTTAATGATTTATTTTTATTTTATGTGCATTGGCATTTTGCTTGCATGTATGTCTGTGTGAGGGTGCCAGGTCCCCTGAAGCTGAAGTTACAGGCAGCTGTGATCTATCACATGGGTGCTGGGAATTGAACCCAGGACCTCTAGAAGAGCAGATAGTGTTCTTACCATCTTTCCAGCCCTTGGCAATTTTTGCTTTTTAAATTTCGATTTTTTCTCCTTCCTTTTCTTCATCTAGTTCCATGTAGCGTTTGCTTACTAGAAATTTTATGTTCACTGTTTGTGTAGGCCCGAAGTTTATTCATCACTGACAGTCAGCTCTTGTCCTCAGGGAAACCCAATTAGGAACCGCAGGACTTTTTGATGTTGTTTCCATGGTAACCCCATAGTAATGGTGTACATACATAATATATGCTCTAAGGAGTTTATTTATCCGTAAGATATATATCAATAACACATTTTAAGGAAATTTGGATTTTTAAAAAATCTGAAATGTTTTCTTCTGCATTTAGAAAAATATTTATTTAGATTTAATTTTATGTGCACTGGTGTTTTACCTGCATGCATGTTTGTGTGAAGGTGTTGGATTCCCTGACATTGCAGTTACAGACAGCTGTGAGCTGCCATGTGGGTGCTGGGAATTGGACCCAGGTCCTCTGGAAGAGCAGCAGTGCTCTAACCACTGAGCCATCCCTGCAGCCCTTTCTTCTGCATTTTTTTTAATGGTGGGAAATTTCTTTGAAGTTTTTCCTCCCACAGAGGGAACAGCAGAGGACACAAAAGCTTTCTCCACACCTCATTTTCTCACTGTAATTTAGAAAACTTTGGAGTTGAATGAGAATAAACACTTCACGTTGGCTGCGATCTGTCTACACAGGGTCTCCCCTGTGACGGCTGAGGACGTTTTATGAGATGATTTTGCTCAAATAAAGAACAGAAGGACCTCAAGTCTTTCAAACTGGAACGGAGGGGACCAGTGACCTCTGAGACAGCTCAAACCCACTGTGAAACAAACAGGACAGTTAAAGCTTCCCTTGCCTCCCTGCCAGGGAGGCCACTCTGCACCCTGCAGCTGTCCCATGGGAGGCTCCGAAGTGTCTGGTTGAAATGATCTGTTCTGAGGTGACCAGATGGCCCTTCAGAGCTGGCTGTCATGAGCTAGTGATGACACAGCTTCTCTGTGAGACAGTCTGAGGAGGAAGGAAACCCCACCTCAGTGTGCTGGAGGGACCACTCCAGCCGACGCCTCTGGGCTCAGGCCTTGAAGGCCAGGTACCGTGGCCAGAACTCAAGGGTCTCAGTTACATCCTGAGATCTCTAAGGTCATTTTCTTCGGTACCACCAGTGGCCACTCAGAGTTAGAATACCCACACTGACCTCTTTGTCCCTGCCAGCTAATCACGTAACTTGCTGGATCTGCCAAGGGGCCTCGCCGTTCCCATAGTCCATAAACTCTGTTTTGCCTGTGGTATTTGATCTAATTACCCAGTGAACTTCCTTAAACACTTCTAGAAAACATTTTGAAAAATGACTAAACAGTTTGGAAAATAACTTTTTTATACTTTGACTTGTTTCTTGGTATCTGAAGAGGAATGTCCATAGGATGGCTGTTGGCCATGGCCCGCCCCTCCCCTGGACTGGCCAGCGCTCTACCTGAGGGGGCGGGAGAGCATGGGCAAGTGTTGTGGGTTATTTCTAGAGCATGTGACACTGAGGAGGGAGGTGCCAGGCATGGAAGGCCACTGGCTCAGCTCTCCTGGAATCACCTACCCACGTGCACGCCCCTCTTAGTGTGCGGTGATGACTTTGCTCTGTGAAACACAGTAGCTTAAGACAGCCCCTGTAACCAGAGCTGGCTCAGCCTCGGCGTGGTGGTTCTACAGAGCTTCTGTCACGAAGCTGGTCTAGGAAGGCCTCATTGTCGTGCCTGGCAAAGTTGAGTGACAGGAAAAAATGAGGCCCTGTGTCTGCCGTAAGGCCCGCAGACCGATCTCTTAAGCCTCGGATGCATTGCATTTTATAAAGTCCCATTGGCCAAAGAAAGGCTCAGACTGGAGAAATTGAAAATAAACTATGTGGGGTGAGAGGTGATACCACACTTACAGAAGCGAGTGGTTCCGTGGATGTTTTCTGTAAGCCACACGTGGTACTTGCCCCCAAGGGGTGCCGGAGTCCCGTCTTGCCCAAGAAGCTCTCCTCCGAGGGGCCTCATCTGCCTCTCTTATGCTAGAGCCACTTGAGACTGCAAAGGGTCCCCGAGACACACGTTTGACTCATGCTTACGTCCCCACAATGTCCTAGCCTAGCTGGCTCTTGCTGGCTCCTTCACTGAATTGAGCCGAGTTGAACTGAATTACTTCTGGCTCTTCTCTAATTACGGCCCATTAGGAATCTCTCTGTTGTGTCAGCCTCTCTCCAGAAGCGCTCAGAGTGACTCCTGCTCTCAGAGTTAGAGAAGTAGCAGAAGGACCCAGACTGGGGCAACCTCTCACCATCCAGGGAAGGACCCAGACTGGGGCAACCTCTCACCATCCAGGGAAGGACCCAGACTGGGGCAACCTCTCACCATCCAGGGAAGGACCCAGACTGGGGCAACCTCTCACCATCCAGGGAAGGACCCAGACTGGGGCAACCTCTCACCATCCAGGGAAGGACCCAGACTGGGGCAACCTCTCACCATCCAGGGAAGGACCCAGACTGGGGCAACCTCTCACCATCCAGGGAAGGACCCAGACTGGGGCAACCTCTCACCATCCAGGGAAGGGGTGGGACTTGGGTGCCAATGTCGCCTCTGCAGGCTGCCCCTTCCCTTCGTGAGAATCTCTTTCTCAATGAAAGGCAGCAAGATTCAGCAATTTAGAGACGGAATTTCCTGCCCAAGGAGACAGTGGGCAGGGTCAAGCACAGGCTGGGTCAGGAGAAAACTTCCTTGCCAGCCCCAAGTGTCTTACACCTCTCCTTTTCAGGGTTGTCTGTGGCCCTGCCTTGTGACACATCCTGTCATCACCCAGGGCCTTGCAGGAACTCACCGGAAGCAATCAGGCTGGGTCATCGAGACCAAGTTCTGGGGGCAGACAGTTGCCCTTTCATCCAGATCCCTCTGGTCCAGCACCACTCAGGATCCTGAGTCTAGGGCTCCTGGTTCAGCAGGGCAGGGTGCTTGTCACCAAGTCTAATGACCTGCATCCAGTCCCCAGAGCTCACATGGTGGAACAGGAGAACTCGTTCCGGCAAACTGTCCTCTGGTCTCCACACATGTACATGAGCACGCCAGAAATAAACAACGTAATAGACATAATCACAGACATCGTTTTAAAGCTAGTGAGAGAGGCTGCTTCCAGGTTAGCTCTAGAGCTTTCTGATGTTGGAGATCACTCGGGGCAGTGTCTTAGTTATGGTTTCCATTGCTGTGAAGAGACACCATGACCATGGCAACTCTTATAAAGGAAAACATTTACTTAGGGCTGGCTCACAGTTCAGAGGTTTAGTCCATTGTCGTCATGGTGGCATGCAGGCAGACATGGTGCTGGAAAGGTAGCTGAGAGTTCTACATCCGGGTCCAACGGCAACAGGAAGAGACTGAGACACAAGTCCTCCACCAAGGCCACACCTCCTAATAGTGCTACTTACATGGGGGCCATTTTCTTTCAAACCAGAAAGGCGGTTTATTGCAGATTGGACTATCATCTGGGAATGGGGCAGCGTCCTCCATGGCATGAAATGTATCATCAGGCCTTGGTTGGTCACAGTCCTAGCAATGAGTTTCTTGCAGGAGTTTCCACTCTGGATCCTCCATAAAGCAGTCATTGGCTCCTACTCCTCATTCACCAAAAACTGACGCAATGCCACAGTGTGCCGGTACTACCCCAGGCGCTGGAAGTGAGTGAGTAAGCCTGGGCCCTGCTCTGAGGAGCTCACAGCACCAAGAACACATGCTAAGTGGGAGGCGCTGGCGGGGAAGTACCACAGAATTCTGGCTCCTCAGAGCAAGACGCATGTGCTGGCAGTGGCTTTTTTCACCCCCAGCTTGACGTAAGCTGGAGTCATCTGGGAAAAAGGAACCTCGGTTGAGGAAATGCCTTCATTACATAGCATGCAGGCAAGTCTGTAGGACATTTCTTGATTGATGATTGGCGTGGTGTGGTGTGCAGTGCCACCCCTTGGCAGGCAGTCCTGACGTGTATAAGAAAGCAGGATGATGAGCCATGGGGAGCAAGCCAGTGAGCAGCACCCTCCACGGCGCCCCAGATGATGGGGTGATGGGCTGTAAGCCAAATGAGCCCTTCCATCCCCAGGTTGTTTCGGGTCCTGACACTATATCACAGTGTCTTAGTTAGGGTTTCTGTTGCTGTCAAGAGACAACATGGCCATGTCAACTCATATAAAGGAAACCATTTTTATTTTTATTTTTATTTTTTTTTGGTTTTACGAGACAGGGTTTCTCTGTATTGTTTTGGAGGCTGTTGGTCCAGCTTGTCCTCGAACTCACAGAGATCCGCCTGCCTCTGCCTCCCGAGTGCTGGGATTAAAGGCGTGCGCCACCAATGCCCGGCAAAGGAAAACATTTAACTGAAGTGGTGGCTTAGACTTCCAGAGGTTCAGGCCATTACACGGCACCACACAGGCAGTCAGGGTGCTGGAGAAGTAGCTGAGAGGCCTACATCTTACAGGCGACAGGAAGTAGTCTATCTCACTGGGAGAAACTTGAGCATATGAGACCTCAAAGCCCACTCACTCAGTGGCACACTTCCTCTAACAAGGCCACACCTACTCCAACAAAGCCACACCTCCTAATAGCGCCACCCCCCTTGGGGGCCATTTTCTTCCAAACCACCACAGACAGAAACCTGAAACAGTGCACATTGGGGACCATCATGAAATTCTTCATCCGCAGAGGAGGAAACAGCCCAAAGAGAGGAAAGACTTTGCTGCCCACAGTCACATAAGTGGCAGCATTCAGTAAACATCCACTACATGCTAAGATTGAGGTTAGGCATGGCAATAGTAGAGACCAAGGGACTTCCAGCTGTACTCACTGGGTCCCAACCCTGGTTACACTTGAGTATCACTGGTGGAGAACAATCCCAGTGCCCAGGAAGCTGAGGTAGGAAGACAGCAAGTTGACGGGCAGCCTGGGCTACATGACAGAGTACAAACAAAAGTAAGAACGGTCCCAGGGGCAGCCCCTCCCACCCCACCCCACAAAGACATCAGCCCTCCCCTCCCACAGGTTCAGAATCTGAGGATGGACCTTAGCATGGAGACGCTTTTCTTTCCTTCCCCCCCCTTCCCCCTTCCCCTTGCTCCTGTTGTGAAAGGCAAAGGGAATTTTAACAGGCCTCCGAGTGGCCCTGATGTGCAGCCACACTGACAGCCACTGGTCTAAGTGACAAGACAGACGAAAATGCAGCGAAGACCGATAAATAGCTGAAACTTGTGGTTGGCAGGGAGTGAACAGGGGCTGAGGGGCTGCAGGGGCATCTGCCGGAAGTGAGGCCGCGCTGCAGAGCTGTGGTTCCAGGGGTGGCAAGCACAAGGCATAGGCTTGTGTGGGAGAGCCATGGACACGCTGGGAGACGCCCGGCTCTGCAGAGCCACCAAACCCTGCCATGGTGCCTGTCCAGCAGGTGCTCTCAGTCTGTAGCCTGAAATAGTTCTCCTTGTTCCTCTACTCCAAACAACCTCCCCCAACGGCAGTGCTTGAAAATGCCCCAGCAGCAGCCCTGTGATCCACCTACTTAGAGAACAGTCAGTGGGGTGCAGAGGAACAGGTGAATCGTCCCGTAATGGAGACAGTCAGACAGACTCCAGGCTAGCACCCGGTTGTGGGAAGCTTCTGTCCAGCCCACCAGCCTCTGACTGTGACTACCCAGTACAGCCCATCTTCACCCAGCTCACCAGCCTCTGACTGTGACTACCCAGCACACCCGCCTCTGACTGTGACTACCCAGTACAGCTGCCTCTGACTGTGACTACCAGTACACCCGCCTCTGACTGTGACTACCCAGCACACCCGCCTCTGACTGTGACTACCCAGCACACCCGCCTCTGACTGTGACTACCAGTACACCCGCCTCTGACTGTGACTACCCAGCACACCCGCCTCTGACTGTGACTACCCAGCACACCCGCCTCTGACTGTGACTACCCAGCACACCCGCCTCTGACTGTGACTACCCAGCACACCCGCCTCTGACTGTGACTACCCAGTACACCCGCCTCTGACTGTGACTACCCAGCACACCCGCCTCTGACTGTGACTACCCAGTACAGCTGCCTCTGACTGTGACTACCCAGTACAGCTGCCTCTGACTGTGACTACCCAGTACTACCCATCTTCCTTGCGTCAGGAAACAGAAGTGCACGGGCACCTGAGAGCCACTGGGGACACTACCCCAGTCCAGCTCTTTCCTGTTGAGCTGTGGAACTTAGTGGAGACCCCATGCTTCAGTTAGACGATGTACCAGCCCAGTCCCCACCAAGCAATCAAAGGAATCCGTTACTCATTGCTTCGGTTCCTACTGCGTGAACCCAGTTACTATAGCAACCAAATGCGCTTCTTATTACTGGATGGAAGGCTTTAATTTTGTATTTAAAGAGTTTGGGCAGATAGTCATGTTGCCATGACTCGAGCTGTCGGACTGCAGTTAGGAGCAGACAGACGCCTTGGAATGGCCATAGATCTGTCTTTCTAATTGATGGATCTGGGTCTGGGAAAACAGGAGGCTCCCCTGGTGCTGCGCTGGAATCTTTCCCTGTTCCCAGATGACTCCCGACGAGAGGCCCCTCAGCCAGGCGCTCTCATGGAGGACTCTACTGCCCCTGCTGCGTTTCTCCATGAGGCCTTGCTTGGCTATCCGCCCCTCGCCCTCCCAACAGACAGCAGGCCTTTAACACGTGTGCTGAACATGGGTTATGAGTTTCACATTTGTTATGGCTCTGTATGGTCACAGGACAGGAAGCGGGGAAGCCGGGGCTCAGTGATATTGGGGTCTGGCCCCTCCATGGACACCTCCTTTGCCTCTCAGTGGCCGGCTAGCGTGTCTGGAACGTGATCCCACAGCCCGTAAATGTCAAAGGCAGACACTGAAAGCAAGAAGCACCCCCCACCCCACTGTCTACATCACGTGACTCACCTGTTTGCCTTCTGTTTGTATCGGGCGTGCCAAGGACTATTTGACTCCCAAGGTTTATTCTTGCAGGCCTGGGCCCAGGCAGCGCGAGTCTTCTCTTCCTCCTTGGGAAGGCGGTGGAGAGGGGTTAGGGCCTACTGGTGGGGCCAGGCCTTGGATGGGGTAGCTGCAGTCTGCTGCAGGCAGAAGTGGGCAGGGGAAGAGCCTTGGTTCACCCTCCCCTGGCCATCCCTCAGCATACCGTGCAGTTGTCCTTTCTCCTTGGTGGATGCTGGGTTTTAGGCTAAACTCATCCTTCCCCCGTTCCTGCCGCATTGTCAGCTCCTTCCTCTCGTAGCCTGACTACTCACTGGCCTTTCAGAACCGGCCATCAAGGCAGGGTTCAGGGGTCACCCTCCCTTCAGGATATGCAAGTGGGGTCCCTGCCCTCCGAGGCTCTCTGTCCCCAAGCATCAGCTGAGTTGAGCACAGGACCTCCACCCTAGCTCTTCACTGAAGGCCAGCAGAAGCTACACTGGAAGGCAGCGGCTCCCTGGGGCTCTGGGCAGGACACATGGGGGTGCGTGGCAGCAGAAGCCGGGAGGTACTGGGGTGTGGTGGGCACCTCCGCTGTCCTGACAATAGCCTCAGCCAGGCCCCAGGTGCTTAGGGCCTTCAAGGCTCCTCTGTTCAGAGGAAAAGACTGAGCTTGCTGAAGGATGGAAGTGCAGTCCCTGAACAGTTATCACACGCAGTGGGACCGCAACATAGTGGGGCTTCCTTGGGGACAAAGGCTGGGCCTTTTCCAGATGCAAATCTCAGCAGAGGAGGGGCAAGGCAGGTATCCAGGGAACGCCTGCTGGAGTGGGTCCTTGTGAATTGGCCCCAGGATCCAAAGCATTGAAGGAGGCCGGTGCTGGGGAGGAATGGAGACAAAGCCAAGCCCAGTCCCCATTGTGTGGAAAGACCAACATGATTGCCTTTGTAAGGCTTAAAGTAACAGTCAGAGCTAATATTAACAATAGCTAATAGTCCCCACTCTGCTCATAATAGCTAATCGTGTGATAGGTGTTACGCAGTGTTAGTTGCACACTGGGTATACTATTGTGCATGATATATGCAACTGCACTGTTGTAGCCTCTCTGATTTGCTTGCAGCAGATGTCACATCCCCAGACAAGAGAACGGAAGGGCAGTGAGGTTCAGTAACTCACCCAGGGTTACTGAACTGGTTAGCACTAGGCTCAGGAGCCGGGCATTGCTCCAGAGTACAGTTGCTGTCCCTTCTGAGTTGGCGTCAGGATCCTGGCCGCCCGGTGAGCTCAGTGATACAGGAAACACCCCTCTCCATCATGCCGCACTTGCTGAGACTGTTTTTGTTTCCCCTTTAAACACACAAGCACTCTTCATCCTCCTTAGCACAGAGTAACGCATGGTGGCTGGACCCTTCGTGCTGGAAGGAACTTGGCAGTGCACAGCAGAAAAGTCTGACCAACACTTGCCTCTCCCGCGACCTTCCTTCAGCAAAGTGCTCTGCCCATTGGATCTGCGGGAGTTTTGTCCACACACCAAACGTGCACACCAAAGGGATGTTCTGCAATTTCAACCCATTCTACTTGAAGTTAGCATTTGATGCCACTGGCTCCTGGCCTGGTCCTTCAGCTCTGGCCTCTCTTCTAAAGTCTACACGGGGCTGACTGACCAGCTGTGTGTCAGGGCTCCTGTGACCTGGGCCTAGGATTTGATTCATCTGCTGGAGCCAGGTGCCCAGCTCAGGGAAGCATTTGCATAGTTTTTCTTTAGGATGGTTCAGAGAATCCTGTTAGCAGCCAGCTGGAATGGACTGGCGGGGCAGGAGTCTAGGAAGGGTGTGGAGCTCCAGGGGCTTCTGTGGGTGCCCCGCCTTCCAGGTACCTCCATGTGCTCGGCTATCTAGAAGTCTCCAGACCTTGTCCTTGGGTTCTGCAGAGGCTCACTGTGTGGCACACTTGATGAAATCTTTGCCACTGATGCCACTCTGGGGAGGTGGGACTGGCAACTCTTCTCTTCCTAGCCCTGACCCGGTGACTGGCGAGTGCTTCCCAAGCAGTCACAACATGGGCAATCAGGAGATTTTGGCTGTGCTAGCCACGGGGCTCAGTGGTAAAAACACTTGCCTGACTTGTGTGAAGCCTTTGGTTTAAACTCCAGCACTAAATAATAGTAGCCAAGTGTGAATACCTTTAACCGTAGCACTTAGGAGACAGAAGCAAGTTGATCTCTGTGAGTTCAAGGCCAGCCTAGTCCACACAATAAAACTCAGGACTGCCAGGGCTACATTGTGAAACCCTGACTCAAAACAACAAAACAAAACAAAATGCAACACCCCCAAAGACTCATCATTTTTGAAGCTCATTGTGTGTATGTGGTATGGGGTATGTATGTATTGTGTGTGTGGTGTGCACATACGTCTGGTGTGTATGTATGTGTGTGTGCATGTGTTATGTGTACATCTGTATGTGTATGCAAGTGTGATGTGTCTGGTGGATATACTAATGTGTGTGTATGTATGTGTACATATGTGTGTTTGTGCACGTGTGATGAGTGTGTGGTATGTACATATGTGTGTCTGTGCATGTGTGATGAGTGTATGGTGGTACATATGTGTGTCTGTGCATGTGTGAAGTGTGTGTGGTGTGTACGTGTGTGTATATGCGTGTGTGTGTATATGTGTGTGTGTGTGTGTTTGTGTGCATGTGTGTGTTGCTGGGATCCTCTGTGTGCTCTGCTGCATCCCATCCCTCTCCTGGGGTTTTAGTAGCTGCATGCATCAGCCAAGTTGAAGACCAAATGTATCCTTTCTGATTATAAACCTCAATAGTCAGCTTGTTGTGCTGGCTTATTCTTGCAATCCCAGCACTGCGAAGGTCGAGGCACGAGGATTTCCACGAGTTTAAGACTAGCTGGCTACAGGGTGAGGCCTTGTCTCAAACAGACAGACAGACAGACACGCATGACAGTATCCTAGGAAGTAACCTCCCGAGGAGGAAAGCAAGGTGCCGAGAGTGGGCATCTGAGCCAAGGCCTCCAGCTGCCCTGAGGTCTCGACTCCACTGAGGCCCTCACCACAGGTGGACCCCAGGCTAATGGAACCCCATTAGCTTCTTCTGTGACACCCCTGCTCACCTGTGCTGGCCACACTAATGCGCTCTCTGCTCCCCCAGCTCTTTGTGATCGACAATGGTGCCGATGATTGGCGGATAGCCATGACCTACGAGCGCATCCTTTACATCAGCCTGGAGATGCTGGTGTGTGCCATCCACCCCATTCCCGGAGAGTACAAGTTCTTCTGGACCGCACGCCTGGCCTTCTCCTACACCCCGTCTCGGGCAGAGGCTGATGTGGACATCATCCTGTCCATCCCCATGTTCTTGCGTCTGTACCTGATCGCCCGAGTCATGCTGTTGCACAGCAAGCTCTTCACTGACGCCTCATCCCGGAGCATTGGGGCCCTCAACAAGATCAACTTCAACACCAGATTCGTCATGAAGACGCTCATGACCATCTGCCCCGGCACGGTGCTGCTGGTGTTCAGCATCTCTCTGTGGATCATCGCCGCCTGGACTGTGCGAGTCTGCGAAAGGTATTCCCGGGAGCCTCTGAGCACGGTGCGGGGAAGGGAGGAGGAGCAGGGAGGCCCAGGTCTAAGATCTGATGGAGGAGGCAGGAGTGTTCTCACATACCTCAGAGGAGAAAGTGGGGATGAGAAGAGGGCAGAGCTGGCTTAGCATGTTGAAACATCGAAGCCCAGGTAAGCTGGAAAAATACACAGAACTAACTTTTGTTCCTTCTTTTAGAGCAGTGTGTCAAAACCTTCCTGTTACATCTTAACCCCTATCAGTATTTACTGATCTTTTTGTATGCTCTCCTCTTGGGGATGAATGGTGCTTGCTAATGTTTTAAAAGTTCTGAGTGCTATAGTAAGGAAACCTGTTCATTTTTGCTTAGTTCAAATTTCCTCATCGACAGAGCTTTTATTTTTTAAAATCACACATCACTGCTAATATGTCCTTGCTCAAGGTTTGGTCCATGGATTGACAGTATCAGCATCATTGGGGGACTTGCTAGAATACAGGGTGTTAACCCCAGAATCACTAACTCAGCACTGATATTCTAGAAGTTTCTCACCATGATTCATATGTACTTTAAAGTCGGAGAGTTATGATGCTAGTGAAATAGATTCACGGAAGATTTTAGGGGGCTGGTGATTCAGAGGGCTGGTGATTCATAGAGCCGATGATGGGAGAGAAGGAACTGAGCCCTGAGGGCTCTGCAATGAACAGCCACCCTTGTGGGTCCCGTTAAGACCGCTACTACCTCCCTCCTTCACCCCTCAGGCCCTGTTGGTGACACCTGTCCTTTTCAAGCTGACGCTGTATCTCGCTCTAATCATATCTCCCATGTAGAGTCCAAATCCAGGCAAGGACTCTGGTGTCTGCCCGAGAACCTGTAGTTTCCTCATTTTAAAGTAAGAGTCACTTGAAATGGATAAAACCATGCTCCAGGGGCAGAGAGCATCTCTGTGTGGGGAGGCACAGGGAAAATCCGTGCTGCTCACACAGATCCAGGTAGCTATTGCTAAGCATCAGTACTTACAGTCTGGCTGTCACATCTTCCATGTGCCCATATCCAAGCAGATAAAAGACAAGACGGAGAATTTAGTGGAGAGTGGCTTGAATGAATTTCACGTGGGGGCTATGAACTAAATTCTTCCCTGGTTTTGGGTTGCTCAGTCAGTCTGGTATGACTCTCAGATTTCAGACTGAGGCATTGTGCGGCCCGGAGCGTGGTCTTTAGAATGTGAGGGGCAGCCTCTGACTTCTGGACTGGGGGACTCTGACAGAAGCCACACCGCCCAGCTATCTAGAGCTAGCTCAGCAGAGCTTCTCCAAGCAGGGATCCATACTAAACAAACAGTTCTCCGGAACCTTCTCTGGCAAATCTGCTCCTGCAACAGAGAAAGGGGTGCTCTGTCTGCTTCCAACCCCAAACTCCTCATGGGACTATTTTGTTGTTTATCTGAGACAGGGTGGGCCAGGCTGGCCTTGAACTTGTGATCTCTCTGTTCTGTTTGCACATTCCCTCCTTCTGCTTCCTCATGCTGAGACGACAGGTGTGTGCCACCATGCTGCTGCCTTGGGGGACTCCCTGGGCTTCAATAATGAATGAAGGATAATGACACTTATTTTGTAGGATTTATTGTTCAAGTTGAGCAAAGCGATCCTTGAAAACTGTGTCTTGCCATATAATGGCAGTCAGTTAATAACATACATTGTATAATCCCCAGGTAACTCGGAAACTTTGTGGTTGCCTTTTTTATAACCAGAACAGATAGACGCCTACCAAATGCCCGCTGATACTCAGCCTTTTTTCCTTTCTAAACATCAGAAGTCAAGGTTTCCCACAGTGGTAATTGAATTTGTATAGCTCTTTGGGGCACTTGAGGTTTTCCATGTCTGTCCCCATTGTCTGGCATGTATTTTGATGAATAGACAGCCTGAACATACAACCAGACACCTACAAGTGAGTTGCATTGTTTATTGAAACTGTCACAAGTATGGCAACTTATTTATTCATTTCTGGAGAATAACCACATTGTAGAGAGCCTAGTTTTCAGAAGTATTTGCATCACAGTTGATATTTAATCCCCTCCAAAGCTTCCAGGTCCAGGTTGGGTTAGTCTGGTTAGACAAGGTTAGCTTGCATTAAGATGTATTAGGCTTAGGTTAGCCTGGGTTAGCCCAGGTTAAACAAGATTAACCCTTGTTAAACTAGGTTATCCTGTTATGTACAGAATCCCCGGCTCCTTTGCTCAAGACCCCAGCTGAAGATCAGGAAATGAAACCAGCCTAACCCTCCCATAGGGATGGGTTGTGTGGTCACAGGCTTTCTTCAGGATGGGTTAGGCATGTGGTACCAATCACAGGGACAGTGCCTTGGCTCCTGCTTCTCGCTCTGCTGGCTCAATATCTCATGATCCATGTTATACCTGCCTAACCCAATAACAGACCCAAGGAATACTGACCGTCCTCACACTGGAGTTGGCTGCTGGAGAGTAACTGAATTGAGGTCACAGGGCTCCTAAGTGTGCAGTCAGAATGCAAGCCTGATTTCTGCCCTAAACTTCAAATTTATCTTGTCAACCCAGGCTGGATCCTATGGGGACAGGAAGTTGTTTTCCAGACTGCCCTAGCCATGTTCTCAGTCTGAGGTCTGAGGGTCACTGTGGTGACACAAAAATGCCAGGCTTGCATTTTGGTCTTCTCTGATGTCGTGGCCTTGGTCACTCTGCCATGCTCTTTCCAGGACTGACTTAATGTTCAATGGAGTCTTCACGCGTGTGCATGCGTGTGTACACATGCACGTATGTCTGTGCAAGTGTGTATGTGTGGGCATGCTCATGTGTGCATGTCCATTTGTGTGTGCGTGTGCAATGGATTTGAGAGGGCATCTGCTCTACCTGTGTTGATTGGGGCACTCATTCCTTCATCTCTCAAGGGAACTGCCTGACTCAGGGCCACACCCCTTACTCAGGGCTGGCAGGAACCCACTGACTGTCTGGGGAGAGTTTAAGGAGACCTTTGCCTCCTAGAGCATAACTCTCTAGGGCCACCTAGGGGTCCCTAAGGGATCACCTGAGGTTTCTGTTACCATTGCTTGTGCCTGCTCTCTGTGTTGATACTGAGCGCAGCCCCACCCCCAGCTGCCTGTCCCCAAATATCGCGGTCTTTGACTCTTGTCCAGAATCTGGCCTATAGGACTGAGAAAGCATGTACAGAACTCGGGTAATCAGGAAAAGCTCTCTTACAATGACAGCCAGCTTCTTTCAGTGCTGTAGGTAACCCTGTGCTTCCCAAGGTCAAATCATAATGGTTGAGACACTGAGACAGGGGTTGTACTGGGGGAGTGAAGAGATGGACCAGGGTAGGAGAGGGATATGGAAAAGATGACCTTGATCTCTCTCAGCTTGATCTGATGGTGACTAGGTCACCTTTGGCGTTAGAGAGGGCAAGTGACTTGTCAAGGGCATTAAACACCATGACAGGTTCTAGAACCTGCTCTTGCGGCTGCCACCCAAGCCAGGGTTTGCATATGGCCCAGGTGGCTTCCATCAGCTGGACTTGTCTCTAGCTGTACACACATATTTCTGAAGTTGCTATGGAAATCCGTCTTCAGCAAGATGCATCTTAGAAGTCATTTCTCCCATCTGGGGTTGGGTTTTATGGGACAATAAACGTTTTTCCATCTCCTGCCAAGGACAGACAGGAGTTAATAATGGTGTGGAGGAGCCTGTGCTGGGAGGGCAACACCTGGTTTCCAGGAGGGCAGTGGCAACATCAGCTTGTTTTGCTGGGACCCAGAGATGCATTACATCAGTGCCTCGGAGGCCTGGCAGTTGCAGCGCTCAGCATCCTCCAGGATTCTCTTGGCTGCATGCCCACCTCCCACAGGCCTCCCAGGCCACCCCAGGAACCTCCTCATTAAACACTGTCAAATGCCAAGCAGCAGTAGAAAGGGAACAGTGGAGGACCCGGGTCCCAGGGCACCGGGCAGGGGAAGTCGGCTTTCCCTGCACATCCCAGGCAGTGCTGTAGCAGCCTTCGAGTGTGTGTGTGTGTGTGTGTGTGTGTGTGTGTGTGTGTGTCCTTGGAAGGAGCAGAAAGACCTCCCCAGCACCGACAAGGAAACCCTCCCCATCCTCTTGAATGGCTGGACGCCTTTAGACTCTTCTGCTCTGAGTCTCCAGTTTGGATGCAGGCTGTCTGTCTCAGGGTCTCTAGACTATCTGCAGGTGTTTGATTTTTGCCTTGTGAATTTTCATTTTTTCATACAGATATTTTAATGAAGAGTTGGTTTCTAGAGATCTGGCAGTAGAGCCAGAGAGAACCAGGCCATTCTGGGGTTGGGGTTACAACTCGGGGGAAATACTTGCCTAGCATGCATAAGGCCCTAAACTGATCCTCAGAACTGTGGAAGAGAAGGGACCAATCTACATTCCTGTTCTCTGTCAGTGACAAGGGAAGCTCCAGGGCAGGAGCAGGAGGGAACAGAGGCGATGGCGTTGACTTGAAGAATGCAGTGTGAGCTTGACTCCAGGGTGAAGCACACTGTGTGAAGAATCCCCTGTGCTGAGCTGAGCTGAGCTGAAACGAGACGGAAAGAATGGGGCTTGGACCTGTGGTTGTTAGGCGTCCTTCGGTGAGGTACAGACTCAGTATGGACCTGGTGCAAAGATCCCACGGGGGACTTGTGAAAACCGATGAGAGCTTCTAGCCATAGCTATTTTATCTAAGATAATTTATGTTAAGCTTTTATTTAATATACAAGTGTTCAACTTAGATATAGGCACATACATGCATACATAAAAGAGGGCAGTATATGCTCAACATTTTTTACTGTTGGAAGTCTGTGGTTTTAAATGTTTGTAAATGGCAGGTTAAGGAAATCAGGTAATGGGTTAGAAAGCATGGCCCTGGGAGAAGCTCTCTTCTAGTCCTGCCTCTAGCTGGAGAAATGAGACGCCCATCTCCATAAGGCAGGAGCCAGTCAAGGTGGTTGCCCAGCCAGGCCCTATGGGGGAAC